TGATAGTTACATCTCTAGAACTTCATCCAAGCATACTTCCTAACCCTAAGAATGCAATTTCACTTTGTATATACTTTATAAAAAGAAACTACTCTTAAAATCGTAACTGATTAAAGAGTACCTCCACAAACGTAAAATGTTTTAAGTTTAAATTATTTTTATAATATTTTTTTTGTAGTCCTATATTGTCTTTGGCATGCTTTCGAATTCGTATTATACAATTTTCTCTCGTGTTTTTATTATATCTATTAAATAAATACTGATGTATAGCGAACCTCGTTTTAGTATAGATATGCTGCTACTACTACAATTAGATGTTCTTTATTTTATTTACTAATATAAAGTTATCAAAAATAATGGTTTCGTTTCAGTTATTAAATATGTAATCAATTTCAAAAGTATTGCACATTGGACAAACTATTCATGAAATTTTCTACTTCAGGTTTTACTTGTAACAAAGTTTTATTTTTTTTTGTTTTTTAATCAGGAATGTCAAAGTTGTTTATCAGAATATTATGAAAATCTGTATCATATAAACGCATTTCTTGAATGTCCTTGTTCCTTAGTGTGCCATCAGATTGATGTCTCACATGTAAAATCACTTGCTTTATAGTTAATAAAAAAGGATCAAAGTCTTTGTACCTTAATTTAACATTCTCGTATCACTTAGCCTGCTAATATGTGATTTTTTTTATATTTGCATTACTGAAGCGTTTTGATATTTATATTTAAAAAAAGAGGAAAGGATATAGCATGTGTAATGCATTGCATTACTGTTTACAAAGTGAATAATTGAACAGAAGATTTGGGCAAAACAGTTTTAATATCTTTAGTATGTTGTTGTAGTTTGTGGTACAAACTACGTATTTATTTGTCGTAAGAATTTTCTCCCTTAAACTGGGCCTATTGAAAATTTTCTTGTTACATCCAAGTGTTAGAAGTAATGCGATCATAATGTTAATTCCCTGAGTCTCGTAATTTATATGTAACCTCGTTTACAGACCAATGTTATTGTATTTAGTCATAGACTGCGCTATGTATAAAAGTTAACCAAGTTTTCGTAGAAAAAAAGAATATGTATAATCGATAATAAATCGGTTTAAGCTTCTATTTGTGTGTGTGTGTGTGTGCCAGAATGGGTGGACCCCAACATATGGCAGTAAAATATGTGGCGATGCCACAATAACATACTCTGTGAACTGTTGTTTCATTAATCTTATTATTATTATTATTATATTATTAATATTATTATAATAAATGATAATTAACACCCATCTTTCTATAGTTATTCATTTCCAATATTCTTAGGAAGATAGTATATTGACTTAAGTTATTCATTCATTCATTTTTTAATGAGTTTTAAAAAATTATGCATGTGAACTGGTTTGGTGTGATAAGAAGAGAATGAATATCACTCAAGAATACAATATTTTAATTTTAGAATCGTTTAAGGTATTGTTTATGTTCAATGATATTTATTTATCAATGAAGTATAAAATAATACTGGCCTGTATTATTTATTCGTACTAATTAAAGTATGTATTAGTATAAGTTACTTATAAAGTCTTATACATAAATTATTAAAATCTTGAATTTACTACATCATGTTTTGTTTAAAAAATCATAAATAAAAATTTTACTAGCATTATATACAACTTTCTTGATAATTTTCAGAAGAAAAATGTTGATTGCAATCACGCATGCGTGATAAAACGAAAATTTATAGTTCCTATATACAATACTGTTTCCTTGTTACTCATGTATGATTGTAATGCAGTGAAGACCGACGCATTGCTTGTATGCAAACGGTCGAAATGCAACAACCGGAGAATTAATTGTTGTGTATAATATCGTGTATTTTCGAAAAATAGTAATGAGTTGTAATGATTGTACATCCTAAATTTGTTTCTCTAATAATTAAAATTACATTTCTCTTTTTTTTCGTAGAATATTCGAATTCGAACATCTGTCAGTGCAAAACAACGTGTAAATACATGTAACATTTATATTTTATTGATTTCAAATAAACTTCAACTGGCACAAAGCACCCTTAATTTTATAGTTTTTTGCAATTGCATATAGTTACGAGAGAAGTGAAATGGATCTCGATTTCATTTGTGAATAAAGTCACAATTATATTTCAGCACATGCTGTTTCACATTTTTATGCATTAGTAATTTTACATATAATGCTTTTACTTAAGTGCATCTATTCTGTAATTTGTACTTAATCCATTACTAGGACTGTTCAATGAAGTATTTTTGCGAATATTGTAGTGGTAAATATTTTAGTACAAATTTGTTTGTAAGAGAATGATTTTAGATACTATACTATAATGTTATCATAAGATGAACATGAATAATAAGATATGTTTGGTTCATTTAATCATACAATTTTAAGCATGTTATAATAGGATTATGTAGAAATATAGTATGTCATCCAAGCCTGCACGCACAGAATCATTTAAAGGAGACTGCATGAAACGTTCCTACAGAGGATCCAGAAAAAAAATGCTGTGTTTGGCTGAACTTGTTTGTAGGCCTAACAATATAATTTTTATGCAAATGGTTCGAACCTTTTTTTATTCATACTAATATTATTCATTATAGAAATCATATTTCATTACTATTTACCTTGTTAGTTAAATATGAATAGTATTATAATGATAATAAAATATTCTATGTATTACAGGTATGTCTTAAATTAAATAATAATGTATTTAAAACTTCCACAAGAAGGCCAACAAAGAAAAAGGCACAATGAACTTTTATATCGATATGGATATTTTTTGTCAATGCTGTTATGTATGATATTCGCATCTATTAGACCACACTTGGGTAAAACAAATGGTACTTGCAATTGAATATATGTGTTTCTATTTATATTAGAACTTTATAATGTTGTATATTACAGGGGTTTTTAATGGGAATATTATAATTCGATATTTTGCTGTGCCTTTAACATACCTAGAAGCAGGGTTGATATGTGATCCTAAATCACTGTACTTAACATTAAGCAATGCTCCTCTTTTGATATTTACAATGACTTTTATTTATGTGTTAATGCCCTTTTTGATGAGATTGGGAGTATGCCTATTAACTTATGCAAATGTCAATGTGTGGCTACTGAAAGGAATGGAAGTAAATAAACAAAAATATCCTCTTAATAGTATTACATTATATTCAATTTGAAATACATAGATTATTGTGAATTTCTATTTTCAGGTACTTTACTGTATGCCACCTCCATTTAATACAAGCATTGTTTTATGTCGATTAGCACAAGCAGACTTATCAACAAGTATTGTAATAACTTTAGTTTCTCATTTTGGAGGATTGTTTATTTCTCCTGTACTATTGTACTTTGTGGTAAATTATTATTACACATTTTATAATTAAGTTCAAAATTTCTATTTACATTGATTACTTAAGTAAAAAATGTTATTTCTGTTACAGCTAGGAGCATCTACACCTCCCTTAGTTGGTGTAAATGTCAAAGAAACTATTTACAGTACAATTATACCATTAGCCATTGGTATTGCAGTCCAAGTATATATTTTAAAATATGATTTCTGTTTTAAAATTAAATCTCCATGGTTTTCTCAAGGATTGTTATTGGCTACAGCATATCACTGGTTCTGTGATGCTGTTTCAGTGGACGCGTCATCCCTGCAAGCTAGTGATGTGTTATCATGCATTGTAATTGGTGAGTCTGTTAATGTTATTTTTTGTAACATGTTTGTTTTATATATACAAGATAATTATTCAATGTAAAATGTTGTGAACAATGCAGTATAATTCTGTCGCATGATTTTATTTAATTAAAACTTGATGAAATATTGTTGAAAGGGTATTTTAAACTAACTTTAGAATTCTTCTTATTTTATTTTATATCTCAACAATGTCCAAAAATTTATAAACAAAGAAAAAGTTAAAATTTTGAATTACTTGCTACAATAATTTTAATAGTGTCGATTATTTTGTATAAAAATGAATTATCTTTTTAGTTTATCTGATATAGAAGTTCAATAATTTCATGCATGTATCCCCCAGTTCATTATAGTGTTAGTATCTTTTTATGTTCAAGCTTGCGTGGGACAACTATTTGTTAGCTGCTTGTGTTGGATATTGTGCTCTCGATGGTTACCTCGGGACATCTTACTAGCTGCACTTTTTACGAGTACTCACAAGTCAGTTGGTCTTGGCAGCTGGGTTTTACGTGGTGCTTACCATGGTTCAGCTCATGGTCCAGCAGTGAACTTACCATTGTCTATTCTACCAGTTGCACAATTATTGTTAGGTAGTTTGTTAGCTAGTTGGCTGTCCCCATAATATGTTATGTGGGTAATATAAATAACTTCATGTTCATTTCTTTTGTTTTCTGTTAAAATTGAGTGCATGTTTTGTATTTAGTTTTCAACATTGATGTTTTAGTTGATGTGTAACTATATTACTCTTAGAATCAATACTAAAAGTTAACGTTATTCCTTATAGCAATTTCAAATTGAAGACATTTAGTGTTTCATCATGTGTTAGTAAATCATGAAGTAATAAACAGAATTTTGAACAAAAAATTGACAGGACTTCTATGAAATAATTTCTATTTATTTCTGTTTAATATAACAAATAAATCGTTTGAACTTCATTCATACAGAGTCTTTTTAAAATACAGTTCCATAGCATCCAATATTATAAAAAAAGTTATATTTTCATAATTTCATTTATTACACTGCACAGTTGCCTTAGAAGCTAGTATCAAAATTCCAAATTGAAGAAGACAAGACGAAAATTCTTACTAAAACAGATCAAGATTTTGAAGTCTTTAAAAAGTGGAACACTTAACAGAATACTGGGTAGGTGTTTACTCCAAGTTATTTTCAAAATGTATCAAATAAGTTTATTCATATGTATAATGAAATGCCGAAGGCGTTAAAACATAGTCTGTGATTTTCTTTTCTCTACGATTCACGTAAAAATGTATACGTGCCACGGTTATTGCAAAATTTAATACTTACCTTGGAAACTAATAT